AAAAAAAAGAAATATTGTATAAATGCAGAGTGGTATTTTTCAGGTACTGTTTTAGAATAAATGTTGTAAATACCTTGGCGCTAACCTGCTTTTACTGTTTCTTTCCAGTTTGTAAAGTGTGGATATGCAGGCTCTAACTTTCCAGAACACATCTTCCCAGCTTTGGTTGGAAGACCTATTATCAGATCAACCACCAAAGTGGGAAACATTGAAATCAAGGTAATATTTTATTTATTGATAAATGACAATCAAGGCATGTAACATGTTCTTTTAATAGTAGTTTAACAGTTCTTTTAAGTAGCTTTAAAATGCAATGCAATGAAAAGCAAAGGGGGAGGGCAGAATTTCTCATATTTTAAATTTATATTGACACCTAAACAAGAGCACAAAACCTGAAGCTAGTCTCATCTGATTTTATGTATGGCTTGATAGCATTACTCTTTGGAGTAAAAACGTTTTTTACATTGATATGAAACACTGTGTTAGTGAGTTAAAGTCCAGTTAGTTTTTAGAAGAAATCAGCCTGATATTTTTATGTCTTTCAGTTGCATATATTTGTCATTGTATGTTAGTGTTTCTTTGAGACCTTAGACTTTTTGTTTTCATGGTCTGATCCCCCTACTTTTTTTATATAGCAGGAAAACACAGGATGTAAATATCATTGGTTCCTCTTTTCACGTAAATAACTGATTTCCATAGTGCAGAAGGACGTCATGACAAGTCTTTATTTGGCCTTGTATTATTTATCTTACAATATAGAGAGAGGAGGGAACATTTTTACTGCCTATTTGCTATACTTAACATGAAAGATTCTGCATTAAGGTTGATAGTTTTTTTCTTCCTTATTAAAGGGATCGGATATCAACTGGGAGTTATATTAATTTTAGAAGAAAGAAGGAAGTAGAACAATCAGTAGGGCAGTGGTCACCAATTGACTTTAAGTTCTTTAAGTAGTCTTGGGATCAAGTTTTACACAGAATGCAGTAGAAGTTAGAAGATAGAGGCTCTTTTAGTGAATTATCTGTGAACAAGCTAGTATTGTTGGTCCTATGTGGACAGTCTTTGGCAAGACTTCAGTGAACTATAAAGTTATGAGTCATTTGAAATGTGAGTTAGGGTGTACCTTTTGGAACATTTGTTTGAGATACCTAGAAAGGTGGTAATAGGTGGTAGAGATTGCAACTTAGCTCTTTGCTTTTGGGACTAGAGAATTGAGTTACACAAAGATTAAAAATAGAAACTGAAACTTATGTTCTGTATTAGTTTTCTAAAGACTTAAAGTAGTAAATTACTCTGGCCTTTGTTGTGTTCCAATAAATAAAATGGGACACTCAATGTAAGTGGTTTTTTTAAGGGTCTTTTCTGTGGGGCATTTTATGGAATTCTTTATTTTTTCGTGTGAACTCCTTTCATCCCAATGAATTCTATCTTAAATGAACTATGACTTGAAAATTTAGCTTAATAGGATAAACCATTGCTTAATGGAGTTGGAGGTAATACTTTTTATTCATTGTCAGGTTTTTAAAGAAGAATGGCTTTTTCTGTACTTAATGAACAATAATGTTTTTGAGATAAAAAGTTGTATCATGTATAGCCATTTTTATTCTCCAATATTGGCACAAATAATTACACATCTCATTACACCCACTTTCTTTTTTTTGAGACAGAGCCTTAAGCTGTCCCCCTGGGTAGAGTGCCATGGC